TACAATATGTAGCTTCTTAGTTGGTAGAGCATGAGATTTTTAATCTCAGGGTTGTGGGTTCGAGCCCCACATTGGGCAAAAAGATCCTTGAATGACAGGGAGTTGGACTAGATCATGGGGAGGCAAACTAAGGCCCGGGGGCCGGATCTGGCCCAATCACCTTCTAAATCTGGCTCACAGGCGGTCCAGGAATCAGCATGTTTTTACACGAGTAGAATGTGTGCTTTTTATTTAAAATGCATCTCTGGGTTATTTGCGGGGCATAGGAATTCGTTCTTTTTTCTCTCTTCAAAATATAGTCTGGCCCCCCACAAGGTCTGAGGGACAGTGGACCGGCCCCCTGCTGAAAAAGTTTGCTGACTCCTGGACTAGATGATCCTTATGGTCCATTCCAACTTTACAATTCTAGGATTCTAGGGGTAGTCTGCTCAGGTGTACATTGGTAAGTCAGCTATCAAGTGGCTAAAAAAACCTTATACCCACATTATTGCACTCACTATAAGCAGTTTTGTAATAGACAATTGTGATGGTTGATAAAGTAGACTTTAGTATATATACATAGGTTTCTGCCTCCTGGTCCTTTCTTTCTCACAGTCCCTGTAGCAATCATTCCAGAAGCTCACTTTTAGATTATTTCTTCTCTAGAAACATTCCCAACAGAGAGCACAATGTGATTAAATAAGCACAGTAAAACAAATCTTTCTTCTTTTTTCACACCACCTTGGTCAGCATTTACAAAGATGGTACAAAAACTCTTTTGTCATGTTTATGGATTTTGTTAATGAGTTTTGTAACAGGGTCCAGTTTCCTTATTTATTTATTTTTTTGCTTACCGTGGAACCTCAGTGAGGTTAATGGCATTTTGGAGAGTTTAGAAAACCACAACAGGACTTTGTAAGGCCAGTCTACCTGGAAGTGGAGTGTCACGGAAGAAAAAGCACAGCATGTTTTATAATTACTTGATTGCTCCCAGTTCAGGTTTATACAGTCATCATGTAGTGATAGTGCTAAATTCAAGTTTCTTTAACATAGGTTTGAAATGTGTAAGTTTTATTTCCCCCCAGTAAATATACAATACACACTGAACATTACGATTAACCAACTTTATGCCCATTAAACTTTGCTTCACTAACACATGAAACACATTAAGAGGTCATAATTATTATTTTTTTGTGACTGAACAAACTGTTGTCAATGAACAATTTTATAAAAAAAATGTAGAAAACAGTTCTAAGTGTTGCCACTACACCCCTTCCTTAAGACACATTATGCACAAGAAATATTTTCAATTATAAAAAGGAAAAAAGTTCTTTTAAAAAAATGTTAAATTACATTACATTTTAAAAAATATGTTCTGTGATTATTTGAGGTTCACTGAATGGGTGAGAGACAGAGAGATGGAGAAAAAGAGAAAGCTTCACTGTAGAAATAATGGGGTTTTGTTATACATAAAAACTCCTCTTTATAGTAGCCTATAATAGACAGTGATATTCTAGGACTCCACAGGTTTAATACTGACACAAAACTTTCCAACTGAAGTGATGAAGACACATATGAAGGAACCTGGGACGGCTCCTTTTACTCAGACTAGATTTGACAAGAAATCGGCTAGTAAGGTGTTCCACCAAAGCTCAGCACAGGTTTCTAAGAGACAATTAAAACATTAAGGAAGATCAAATAGCACAGTCCTCAGGGGCCTGTACAACTTTAGAATGCAAATGTTTCAATGTGCTCTTGAAGTTTTCCTACATATAGAAAGTTTGTGATAACTGATATATTTCGAAGGTAGAACAGGACTCTGAGGACTCCACCATATACATATTGTTATGAGATCAGTTATGAGATCAACTTCTCATCATACCTGAAACAGCAGTATGGGTGCAACTACCACCGTGGCTGCTCTCATCACGTGTGGTTAGGCCAGGCTGCATGGTTATGTTCTGTAGTAGTGGCATGCTACCTACTAGGGTCAGTAGCACCAGGATACATGCAATCCACCTTAGCAACATTGGTGGAAAACAGTTTTAAATCCAAACCCTTTATTCAGTTAGTATGGCTTCAAGTAATCACTTCTAGTTTCTTTTCTCTCTACTACACATGCCAGATATTATCATGTATCACTGTCTCAGCTCTTGTCATCTCAGGAACCAATTTGCATTTGGATGCTCTTATTTTTGAAAATTAATTACTGTTCTGTAGTTTCAGCACAAGTCTTAAGATGTGCCTAGAAATCTAAGTCACCTGGTAGATTTTTTAAAAAAGGTTATATGAATCCTTTATAAAATTGCAACCCACAGAAGCAAAAATTGAGGCACGTACTATTCTGACTGGAGACGAAATAACTTATCTCAGGTGAGATGGGAGTTGGGGTAAGGGAGCATCTAGACTCAGCCCAGGAATGGCTTTTCCCATTACTTCCCAGTACAACTAGTGCTGTCCAAGGCTTCTGAAGGAAACTCACAGCAGCGGTCATCAGATTAAGTAATAAGGGGGAAAGAGGCATGCAGACTGAATCAAATGCCCTTCGGTGTTATTCCTGCCTAACAACGGATTAGTGCTTTATTCAGTTCTCTAGCATAGCACCTATCCGATTTGAGGGTTGGGGCATGGAGACTATTCTCCATTGCAGATACCGCTGTGTCAGGTGCTGAGCTAGGTTGCTAGAGTTGTGGAGTTTCTCCCCTTAGTAGCAGCTTACTGTGTCTTCATTACATGGATCTGTGTACAGAAAACAATGTTTGTACCCAGAATACTATTGCTGGAACATGGTGTCAACACATTAACATACTGAATTTAGGAAAGAGAAAGGAAATGTCAGTTTTTATACATTTGTTGAATATTTCTGTACATTTATAAAATAATGGCTTTAACTATATCCAGCATTTCAATAAGCAGGAACATTACATAAATTCCTTGGTCACATACACACACAAAATATTTATCCTTGATTTGATGGGGTTTTTTTTTGGTTTGCCAGTGCCCTGACGTTACGTAAATGAGATAATTTTATATTTGCAGTGCTGATTTAGAATTGGTAATGACAATGTTTTATCTTAACAGCAATCTCTATGCAATGTAATAAAAAGCAGCATATAGCTAGCAGATTTTTTTCTAAAAGTGTATGTCACTTACAACAGTGTGAGAGCCAAGGCAAAGTATTAAAACAACATGGACTGATAGTAAGTAAAACATGTTTAAATGCAAGTGTGTAATAATGATGTGACTGAATGACATAAGCTCTGTGATGTAAACTTCAAACAAAATATTTAATGCATTTGATATACATTTACAGTATTTCTAACAGAAATAAAAATACTGTAGAGGAGTTGGAGAAAAACATGAGAACTAATGATGAGACAGGATGCTTTTGTTAATGTCCACTTACAGAGAGTTTGGTTTATTGAAAAAGTGTATAAACATGCATCATGTTTTCATAAGAAGAGGCTTGAAATTTACTCATCAAAAATAGGTCAAAGATGTTTTCTTTTCTTTGTTTCTATCCAGTTTCCAATAATGTACTGAATTGGCAAAAGACATATTAAATTCAAAACCGATCATAAATTTACCATTGTTTTCAAACATTTTAACCCAAGATTTAAGGTACAAATGAATTGGGTTGCAGTTTGTGACAATTTTAGATAATACAACACAAAAATATGTTTAGAATGCATAAAAACAATTATGCCATTTCAAGTGATTCAGCTCTACACCTTCCATTGTACTGTACATGTATTGGAAAGATGAACTAAGATAGTCTAGCTTTTTTGGAAGCAGCTTGGATTTCTCAATCATAAATTGCACCTTTAACTCTTGCTAGGTATTCCTAGCTCATATGGTTCATGTTTCCTGGAGGGGAGAGTGACTCAAGCATAGTAATTTTTAAAACTATAGTATTAAAGAATAGCTTTAGTGAAACACCTTAACTTCCTTCCTTTGTTAGCAAGATCAACTGTGTTGAACAAAGGAAAACTGATACTAAGAAGAGAGGAGGCTTTTGTGTTCTCGTCTGGTCTTGAAACTCACACTTCCATCATTTGACCCCTTTTTTAATGGTAAAAGCAACACGTTGCTTATTATTTCATATAGGATTCCATCCCTGATGCCCCAAAAAGGCTTTGCTAACATCAGTTTGCCAGTCATCTTCCTAATTCTACACCCAATGGAAAACCACCTAACATAATTCATTACATCCAGCATTATCCAACATAGCTTACAGTACATAGACTCCTTTCACATTCAGACTTTTATTTTCTTCTTCTTCTTCATGTCACGAGGAGTAAGAGTTTTGTGCTTATCACCAAAAAAAAAAATTGCAGTGCAAACTTTAAACATAAAAAGTTACACAATTAAAAGTTATTATATGGCACCACAGCCTATTAATTCACATATAATACAACAGACCAATAAGAACAGACAATAATATGAACATAGCTAAAAAGAAGGTGAGCTTGCATAGCAATGCAATAAAAAGAAATTATATACAAGGGAACTGTTTCATCCTGCAGGGTGATTTTTTTCTCTCCTTTATATATGCTTGATAAGAAATAGATTAAGGTGGAAGGTGTAGTATAGAGAAGAACACAGGTAGAGTATCTGTGGGATATGTGTGGCTGTGTGTCTTTACATTGCATTTACAGTTCTTTTAATAAGTAAGTACATAAATAAAGAAAATGTTCATTGCACTGTTTTAGTGTCATCACTTCCATGAGTTCAGACCTTGATGGCCCTTGAGAGCAGCTTGAGATGTTTCTGTTCCAACTACTCTGTTAAACAAAAAGCAAGAACATTATTATGCTTTAAGATACTTTACTTTTAACTTCTATGCATATATCATTCAGACATATATTTTACAAGCAGACCATAAAAATCATTAACCTTCTGATTGGTTCAAATGATAACTTTTGTTAAAGTGAATGCTATTGTAGGGACTGTTATTTTTTTTACAGTATTCATTTTTGGAATGTAAACTGTAATTGTACGTATTCCAATTATTTTCTCAGTGAATGCAGCACCAAAACGTGAAGTTCTTCATAGAACAGCGATACCTATTACCCTCCTGACACAACACAGCATAGCTGTCTTTTAGAAAGCAAATGTATGTATGCAGAATTTTACCTCTTCTGCTTTTTGTTGAGGAAATGTAAAAACTGCAAGTGCTCAATGACAATGCTTTTGAAGGAACCCTACGAATTGTTCAGTTAGTTGTCATTCAAATGGGGAATCTGAGTCTGAATTGCTAAACTCCAGGTTGCAGATGGAGTGTCATATTAGTCAGTATTTTGTTACGTGAAAAAATCCCTGCATATAGAAGAGTTCTAACCTAGCTTGAGCCCTCAAATGCCAACTTTCTGTGTGGAGGGATTTTTTAATTTTTTTTTGGTCACTGGAGCCTTCACAATGTAGTCTGTGTAACCTCTCATACATATGTGGGGTGGGTGGGAGTCCTTGTTTGGCTGCTCTTTTATTCACAAAATATTTTATTCCTTTTCTCTTTCACACTGCATGCTTTCCAGCTTTTAAATGTTGTATGTGTATTTTGAACACCACTCCCAGAAGTAGACTCATGCTTTCCCTCCCTGAATGTGCAAGCCACAGTTACAACACAGTAAAGCTAATCTGTCTGCCCCCCCCCCCCTAGTCTCCTAGCACTGGTTTCCTTATGGTGATTCATGGTGAACTGTACTTTTATCAAATGTGATGTAATAACAAGAATGTTTATTTTATTACCTACCCTTCACACTAAGGTCCCAGGGCTGGTTACAATGTTAAAACACAATATTAAATACAGTTTAAAATCACTTACAATCATGAAAATAAAAACCCCTCAAAAGTCCACAATGCATAAAACACAGTTTGCTGCCCTGGTTGTGGTTGCATTGACTCAGCCTCTCCTGCACTGAACACTCTCCCCTAAATACAGTGGACCCTCTGGATACAAATTTACTTTGTTCCAGGGGTCCATGCATATCCCGAAAAATCCGTATCCAGAGGCGCCACTTCTTCGCACGATGCGATAGAGCAATTCTGCACATGCGCAAGCGACGAAACCCAGAAAAATACTTCCGGGTTTGCCGCTTTCGTGACCCAAAGTTTACGTTACTTGAGAGTAATGTAACCCGAGGGTCTACTGTATGCCAACATTTCATCGGATGACAGGATTGGCAACTCACTCTTCTATCCATTCTGAACGGAGAAGACATCCCTCTGTGAGTGCAGCAGTGGTTGATGGTAGGTGTCTCTTCCCCACAGAGATGTGGGGGTGGTGTGGTGCATGTCTGCATGATTTTGCGACCCTGATTTCCCCCCCTGTTTTTTAGGTGTGGCAGTAATTTTGTGTTATGCCATGCCCCCCATAGCAGCCATTTTCTGTATGGCTCTCTCATGGAAGTTATTTTTAATTGGTGCCCACAGGATCTTCCCAAGATTCAAAATGTGCCTAAATTGTAGAAGCCTTAAAATTATTTATATATATATATTGACATTTTGTATTGCATCTCAAAAGAGGCTTACATAATTCGCCAGAAAACTGTCCTTGACTGCTTGATCCAACATATCCTACGTCAATGAGATCACTGGTGTTACGTTGGTGACCTCCCCGCATGACCTCGCCTTTCCTGGGTCCAGTTGATCCTTTAGAAGATGCTGTACCTGAAGAGCTATGTCCACCTGGGGATGGGAAACTAGGCTTGCTATATGGCACCAGTGCCTCTTCTGAAAATACAAATGGTATATATTATATACATATATAAAAGATACATGGGACTGGCTTACTCATGGGAGATTAAAACTTGTTGAATAATTTTACACCACCTAAAAACCCGAAATCTTACATACCATCTAAAATGCTGTATTAGAAAAGTCTGAACATTGGGAATAGGTATGTCTCACTTTGAAAATGGGGACTTGAGCAACTAAAATTTGGTGGATGTGCACACTGATAACTAGAAATTTATGAAATGGAAAACTTAGTACTCCTCTCCCTCAAAATAGGAGAAATAAAGTATACATTAAAATGGTTATACAGTATTTTCACTGGAAATCTACAAAGTGGAACACAAATAAGAGCAAAAGGGGTGGTTGACACGAGTGAAGGGATTTGTGGAGGCAAGCCATGTCATCAGCAACAACGCAGAAGCCAGCTATGCATTGTCTGTATGCATAGATACTTATGTACAAAGGTTTCTTCTGTGCAAATACTGGTTTCAACTACATATCACTGGAATAAGTAGTTCACATGGCTAAAAGATTGAGAGCTCAATCTTAGCCCTTCCCCAAATGTTGATGACTGAAGGGGGTTAGGACAGTGCATAGATGTCTCTCCATTAGCATAGAGGAAGCTGGCAGTTATTTGTCAGTGGTAGCAAACAGAGAACTCTGAAATGGGAAGTTTGGAAGTTGGTGGAATCTGAACCTTTACTACAAACTTGGAGGTGCCATGCTGTGGTAGGGTGGATGGCAACACTTTGTACTATGGCCAGTGTAAAAATGGGCAGGGCTTGGGATGTGACCGTAGATCTATCACACCATTCTCATCTCCCCCCACACCAACCCACTTAGGATTGATCCATCAGCTAGCAGTGGAAGACATGCCTGACAAATAATGTAAATGAAATATACACAATTACCGTTTGTATTTTGGTATATAAGGATCTCTCTATTATTGACATTTCTCTATATGTCAACTTGTTTACAGTGAATTTGGAAGCTAAGATAGATTTCGAAGGAAACCATTTTTGCACGCATATTGGAAGCCACATATTATCATATCTTCATCTAAGTTTATGAATTGGCATGTCCTAATTATAAAAAACCAAGATTCATTATGGAAAAAGCATGATGAATCATAGATTGCTTAATTAAATGATACATAAACGATTTGCAGAATAATAAGGCCAAAATTATAGTTTCCTTTAAGCTTGCTGAAATGCTGCTCTTTCCCCCTCACTTAAATTATGGTAACATTATTTCAATCAATTAAGATAAAGAACTATAGAATCAGCTAATTTAATTAGCTTCCTGGTGTTATTTCCAAAGATATCAAGCACATGGGAAATTACTTCATTGGTTTATATTCTGTATAGGGAAAATCTTGCTTGACAAACAATTCCTGTCCTTGAGAACAGATTGCTGTCCTTGAGACCCAGGTCCCCATTCACGATATGTGAGCAGAGTCTACGGGATCTCTTACAAACTGGGAGAAAGATTCACCCCGGTTTAAGCAGTTTTGCAGGTACTGATTTCAACAGGAGACGTAACTTTCTATTGATTAATTTTGCAAGTGCTTAACTTTAGCTAGATCATACATCAGGTGTTGACCCCCCACCAGGACTGGCCTACTCTCTTAAGAGGTGCTTGAGAGTTGAGGAACAGGGGAAGCTGCTTCTGCTTAGACTTTCAGTCTGTCTAGCCAAGCAGCTTTCCAAGGCATCAGACAGAAATGCCTTATAGCTCTGAAGTACAAATTTGTGAAGGTGCTTGATAATGAACCTGGGACCTCATAGTGTAAAGGACCACTAAGCTATAGAAGGACCAATCACACAAGGAGGCAGAATCAGGCAGCCTTCCTTTGATGCAGAATGTGTGAAGAATGGACAGCACAGGGCACCAGACTCTCAATATTAGTGGTGTAATTTGAAGTTTTTGACTCAGTTACCCACACCCAAATGTTATTAGCTATGTCCGCTTAGAGGAAAATTGACATACCCATATGGTCAGAGGCTTTTAAATCAACACAGTTTAGCAAGGTAATTGTTTTACTCAGTGCTTCTCAAGTGAGCAAAGCATTGGAGCTAACCTAAAATATCAGTACAAATTTACCAGTGAAATCTTTAGATTTTGGTGATATAGAAAGCTCATTACCCACAAGGGGCAAATATATTTCTGTTACATCGGAAAACTCATGTTCCCAGTCTAGGAAGTAGTGTGTGAAGTTACCATATTGGAATCCAAGATGGTGGTAATGAGTTCATATTTGGCCAATATGTCATCTTGCCCTAGGTAGTATTTCAAAGTACAAAACCAACACTGCATGAACTAAGGAGAACAGTCATAGCAATTGCCAACATCATCATATTTGGAATCAAAGATGACTGCCACAAGTAAGTTACAGTTGTGTTCATTATGTGATACTCAAGAAGTTTGCAGAGTTGCTGTTCCACATTTTTCCATTTTAATGGAATGAAAGCCTCTGAAGGAGATGGTCAATAAAAAAGGGCAAGTTTTTTGTTCTAAAATAAATGCAGATGCAGAAACAAGGTGGAAGATGAAGGGAACCCATACCATAAACAGTATGTGAAGAAAGTGATAGGATATCAAACTGATCATCTGTTCCAACTGTCCGTACGTGTACGTGTGTGTGTACACACACACACACACACACACACACGTTCTGTCAAAGGGTGCAATCCCCAAGGGATGGGGAGAAACATGAGAATGTAGGAATGCTCTGCAGTCGTCTATCCGGTTCTAGGTTTAAATTATCTTGTCTTTTTAACTTTAAAAGCTAATGTCCCTCGCATTGTTTCCAAATAATAAAAAGTATTTTCTTCTTGGCTTTGGGGTGCGGCAGAGAAATGTGGGGGTTTAGGATCCTGGCATACTTTCCTTTTTTTGGCCCTACCTGCGTCTGAGCTCCAACATTGGTTGAGCCATGGCTTTGGCAGGGTTCATAGAGCCAGAGAGGGAGACGTCGTTTCCCCCTCTGCAAGCTCAGATCTCTGGCTCTGGAATCAGAGATAGCTATCCATTATTTTGTATGGTTTCTGGGACGGTCTCCTAGAGCCCATAGGATAGCGCACCCCCCCCCGGCCAATCTTTTCATTTGAACAACCGAATGCAACAGACAAGCTGACAAAGAATACTTGAATGGTGTGTTGATGAATACCTAATAGCTGTTAAGACATTTAATGATTCTGAGTGCTGGTGTGAGGGGGGAAAGGAATAACGGGTGGCAGTCAGCTGAGTTTTACTCAGGGTAGAGCTATTCAAATTAATGGACCTTAGTCATGTTCATTCAATATTTACTGTTGAAGAAGGTGTGGTGATCTTTGCTGATTTCCTCTGCTGCAGAAAATACGATCCAAAGAATGGAGAACCATCCAAAACATTATGGTTCAGGAAAGAACAGAATGAAAGTTGTAGGGTGCAGGTAGAAATCAGCAAGAATCGTCTCACCTCTTCTTATATTAGTGGAGATGTTTGCTGCATAAGAAGCTTTTTCTATGAGCACAGCAGCAGCATTGGATTTCACCCAGTATTCCTACATTGATTATGTTAGCAGTGGTGTCTGCTGGATGAAAAGCTGTTCTGCAAGCAAAATGGCAACATTTGATTTCACCCACCGAGTTTATCAATGAGAAGCTCCATGTTTTAACCCCCCTCCCAAAAAACACACACACCTGTGAGTCCAAAATGGCTTGATTCCGAGCTTTTTGCAAGGTTACAGACATAAATGTGAGTACTGATGAGAATGCTGTTAATACAGGTGGGAGGTAAGGATGTTTGGTGCACTATATGCATGCAAAAATCCATTCCAGGGGGTTAAAGAAAAATATTCACAGCCAGTGTGTGTTCCATATGTATATATTCCTTACATAAGATGTCAAGTACATCCCCCCCCTGCTGCATATAGCAGCATTATTAACTCCCAAAGGCATGCGTTCAGAATTTTAGTAGTTTAGGTGTATTCAAAAGCTTCACCATTGCAGGAGCAAACATTGAAGGTCAAATGTTAATAACAATCCTTTGACTGTTCCAATGTAAGCCTTGACCTTCACCGCCTGTAGGGGATCTTATAATGGAATATATTTAGGAAACTGCCTAAGCTGCTTTGAGAGGTGCAACTACACACCTGATCCAAATGCTTGTTTTTGCTGGCTTTGAAGTTCTGTGGAGCTTATCCATTCCTGGGTTTGCCGCTGCCACTCTAGTGACGTCCTAGCTTGACGATCCAAAGAGCTCTTTGTTTCATCTATGCTGGATGTATGCTGTCGTTCTAGAGAGCTTCCTTTTCTCTCTGTCGAACCTCCACGTTGGCCAGGGCCTATCTGCTGCCTTAAACCCTGACCAGGGGGTGGGTCTGGCGGTGGTGGAAGATCTAAAAATGTGAATAGACTCAGAATTTCAATGACATATTAGTTACATTTAAATTTTAGCGGAAAATGAAAGGATTGGAAAGACTTGACAAAATATAGTTATCCTACATTTTTCACTTGGTTTTAGACAATTGCTAGATGTTTTTGGCTGTAAATAACAGAACATGCTCTTCACCAGAAGAGTAATTTTTGTTGTGCTGCACTTGACAAGGTCAGTAAAAAAAAAAAAAAGCTTTTATTTTCAGTAGATGGGGGTTGTTTCCTTTTTCATCCTGTTTGCTATGAAATAGTTTTGAAATATATATATATGCAGATCACATGTACCCTATCAGTTAAATTAAAAGTGGCTGCATATGAAAGGTTTTCCAGAAGTTTAACATGCACTCAAATGTTGAGTGAATTTGCAAATTGCTCTAAATATGTCCAGATTACAACACAACATATTCTGGGAGGATGGGGATTTTCAAATGCAAACTACTTTTTTAAAAAGAAGTCACCAGCCTGTGTTTAACTTCAAGCAAACTATACCCACGATAACATATATCAAATGTGTATGAGTTTTCCTTTATTTTTGAACCTTGCAATGGTGAAGAGACATTAGTAAGCACAATTTTTCAACATTTCTTAGTTGCAATCTAACATTCTGTCCATGCTGTTTCAAAATAAACATGCAAGACTATTTACATACCACTGCTCACTAAATCCTTTTAGATAAACACAGGATTTGCAATGCTTTGAATCATGCCTCTGTGAAATATTTTCTACGCATGAACTTTATAGTTCTTTCCTTTTCTGAATTGGGGCTATAGCAGTACTCTCACATGTGCATGCCAGTTAATTTCTTTGTCCATGCAGCACTCTTGACCATCTTTGAGAAGATGACTGTACCATAGTTGGAACCACATGTTACTATGGGGAATCAAGAGTCTTCTGGTTCTATCCATATATAGTTTGGTATATGCTGATATTTCTGCACACAAATCTATACCCAGAATGGTCAGTAGGAGTAAAGTGGATGGGAAAGAAACAGCTGGTGTTAATACTTGTGAACCAGCCCTAATGGTGGAACAGATACTCGGGTATTTGGAGCATGACAACACCATTTTGTCTCATGGAGGCAGCTGTCTGCAGTCTAATTAGTTATTCAAAATAATTGAGACAATAAATCTTCCCTGTGCCTATCCTACATGGCAATTTTCTCTTTGATTCATATAATGCTGAAAACACTTGTGCCGTTCATTCAAGCACTTTAACAATTGAGGTAGTAACTTGACATTCCATACTGCCCAATAGCCCTTTGTATGCAGTGTTTTCAATGAAAGTTGTTCACACATTTAGCCACCAGTAATGTACACTTGTATACAAGTTTCCCTTTCTCATTGGGACTGGATGGTGCACCTGGAGGAGACAAACCTTAATACAATGAGGAACTTCCATCTTGATGTAAATAGCAGCTTTATGGAGGGGGTAAAGATTTGCATTGCAGAGGGGGAAAGGGTTTAAACTCCACCCCTGCCTCCTACAACCCCCACCCAGAGAGTCTCCATACAGCTATCTGTATTCCTAAAGTGTCATGTAACTTAAAAAGCATCACGTGTAGTTAGGCCCAAGAGGTTCTGAGGTATTTTTGTTTTTCAGGTTTGGTGGCAGGAGCTGCCTGGGGTCAAACTGGAAACCTTAGGGGTGGCCTGTGTGCTGCTGCCCCATGTGGCGAGCCACTGAACTGCAGATTGCAGCATCTTACTAGACAGATTAGCATCCTAAGGCCTCAGGTAAGTTTATTTATTTATTTATAACAAAACATTTTTATGCTGTTTGATTTATTAAAAAAATTATTAAGATGTTAACAAAAAGAATAGAACAATGAAATTATCACGAAAAACATCCATTTAAGACATTCGAAAGATAATTAAAATAAATGATAAACTAAAAACAGATTAAAATACCTATCAACAGTCTACATATATGGGTAGGCTTGTCTGAACAAAATGCTTTTAGCTGATGGTTTTAGGTAGTAGTTGGTTCCCCCTTGGGGAGAAAGGACGATAGGCAGGCTAATGGCTCACCATATGATGCAGTCACATACAGTCCCAACGGTTACCCATTTCAGCATCAACAGCTATTGACCTCTAGTGAAAAGCATTTGTGGACAGTACCTCTTTGACAATAATAACAGATTTACTGGATAGACTACTCATTTGGTCAGTATTCTTGCACCCACTCATGTAAAGTAAACACGAAGAGGATCATAATAATTTGTAGTTTTTTCTTTAAGAGTCTGTTTGTTGCTTCAACCAAAATTGTGAGACATTTCTTATAGCATGATATATTACTACAGTGACTTAAATAGATTTTCAGTGCTTTTTGAAATTGTCTTTCAATTTACTTTCCTTTTCTCCCCTTAGTTATTCTAAATGTAGAGTGACAGAATAGCTTTTTGGATTCGACCTATAAAAGGTGGTTTAGGATACAGGAGAGGGTAAACTGAGTTTGCAGTGCATGGGCAAATATTATTTGTAACTTGTCAAACAAGGAGTGCCAAATTATTTCCTTTAAACGACAAATGCTGAACCACAATATATGGGCATGGAGCTATGGCATCTTGCACATAACCGTGCATCTTGTGACTATCTTTGGTTGTTCTCTTTCAATGAGGTTTTATCCCCATTGGGGTTCATATAGTCAATAAAACATATTTGTCTGAAACACCTAGAATTTGCTGACTGCTCCTTGTATTGGTTGGAATTCAGCCAAGTCATCAGAAGCTGCATCTAATGACAGCACAATTCTGGAAAGAGAAATTTGCAAGCCAATTAGTACATTAATGTAATATTATTGGAGAGTGGTGGCTTTTCTCCCAATTCAGTAATTAGGGAACTGGGGATTCTGATATTTCGTGACAGCAAAAACCTCAAATGTGTTCCCATTTGACTCACCTTGGATTAGTGTGAACAGTGTGAGAGATTACCCAGTGTGACTGAAAACAACAGTTATTAGTTTAGACTTTTAAAAGAGCTTAATGTTGCTAACTCTCTAGCAGTGCACTTTAATGGAAATCTCAGTTAATTGCAGACGATACCCAGGGAAAGAAATTGTGAATAAAGAAAATTGTTTCATGTTTACTTGTGAACTGAACTGTGTTTGGGCATTATATGGTTGACTCCCCTTCTCCCCTCAGTCTATAATTAATCAATCTAATACTTTTGCCACTGATTTTGATAGGATGGTCGATAGTAAATCATACGTCGCCAGAAAGAAACTCTGATTATTTTCCTCATATGCCAGTCTTTCTGTATTTGGCGACCTGATTGCATTCCAAACTATCTGGAGGGCTTTGTGTCAATGCATGAGATTTCTCTCCTTCCTACCTTTCGTTCTGTTGTTTGGTAGGGTTGCCATAGTTCAAGAAGTAAAAATCTGGGCACCCTCAAAGTTGTTCAGCTTTTTTATCACCTTTCTCAAGCTCCTTAGCATTTAACAATCAGTTCTTCCTCTCCATTTCCCCACCATCTGCTCCATAAGTAGGTCGTCCTTCCCTTGAGTGCAGATTTCCCTCTCCCCAATCTAGACTGCAACTCTAGCATGGGACTAGGAGAGTTTCAGTCCTGTTGTAGTCTCACTTCACATAAGCCCCTCAATACTTGCCGTTTGCACTGCATTATGGGAAAAGGTCTCACTTCTTTCATAGAATCATAGAATCATAGAGTTGGAAGAGACCACAAGGGCCATCGAGTCCAACCCCCTGCCAAGCAGGAAACACCATCAGAGCACTCCTGACATATGGTTGTCAAGCCTCTGCTTAAAGACCTCCTTTCAGTGTGATGTTTTCCACAATGCAAATGGCTAATGGCGGACAAAAGCTCACTCCCAGTTTGCAATTCAGATTGCTGCCCCCCACCCAGCACTGACAGTTTGTAAGAGGAGGGGGGAACCTTCACATGTATAGTAGCAGCGTGACTGCCTATATTACATATTAGGTCCCAGGTCATTATGCAATATGGAAAATGAGCGGGCTCTGTACAAGGATCATGATTTTGGTACTGCAGCCATAGTACTTCAGGTAAGTAGATGTGGAAGATAATGTTTGAAAACTATTCACTAGGTGAAAGCACTTTTGTTTGTTCTATTTCACATTGTGATACTGTAATAGCTAGTAACAATTGTAAATTAATTGTTTTGTTCTGTTTTGTCATTACAGATGGTGTAGAGATGGAAAAAACTTGCTGTGTAATTTGTGATGGTAATATGCAGAAAGGCAACTGTTGTGGAACATGGTCTAGAAAAAATTAAGATAAAATGCAGCAAGGGAAGTTGGCCTAGTTAACATATGGATGTGAAACTGCACGTTAAGTGTTGTAACAACATGCACTGTGTATAAGCATTATCCATTGTTAGAGACCTCCTAAGGAAGTACTACGTCCCGCCCTCCAGCAGTTTTATGTTTGAGCATTGCTGCATTTAACTTCAAGACATGCTGCATCTTTGTAGTTAGCTAGCAGTCAATAGCTAGCAGGTAGAGAGAAATAAGCAGCTTGATTGAGGACTTGATTGAGGTTAATATGGTCATCACAGTGCAAATAATTCAGTCAGGGAACTTGCAACAAAACAAGGCAATGAATGGATTTGTACAATACAGGTTTTGTTGGACAGTGTAATAGATCCACAATCACTGCTGCTACTATACCTGTGGCATGTCAGAACCCCTACACATGAAACAAGCAATCAATTTAGTACAACTGGATGACATATCAATTCGGAAAAGTCACTGGCATTTGAGAAACTGTGCAAGTACTCTTAAAAACATGATGAATGCCAGTGCAGTATCGGTGAGTTAGTTGACAAATTGAAGGGGTTATCCCCCTTCTCAGGCTACACACAGTGAGAAACATCTCGTAAGTAAATTAGAAGGTGCCTTTGGGGAAGTAATGTCTGCTTCATGTGCTCCAGGATTGAACAAAAAACAGCTTTCATTAGCTTTGATATAACTGCAACATACTTTCGGTACCAGAACAGGAAAGTTGATATTGATGCACATCGACAGTACAAATAGCAGCAGCAATAATTTGGGAGGAGATTTATTTAAAGATCTTTAGCTGTGACAGATTGAAGACTGGTGAGGTTGCCATAGCTATGGCGTGTGGGGCAGAAGCTGGGAAAAGTCTACATGAGAAGATGTACCACCTGTACAAAAAACGTTTAGCTTACCAACCATTACATGCAAAATTTGACTTCACAGCCTTTTTACCAATGTCCACTGCTGATAGGCAGCATAGTCTCAAGCATTTTCTACTCCTGTTGTGGTGTTGACCTATTGATTACTACATAATAGTTATATTTATATTACTTTATCTAATAACAACTTGCACATTGCCTTGTAATATTACAGATGTTCCTAAAAATGGCATACTGACATCCTTATCTGTCAGCTGTATCAATGAGCTGCCAAGGACTATCAACACCCTTCCATTTACAAATTTTTCACACACCTTCATCTGCTCACATTTTCAACCTGATTGTAGACATTAAAATATTGGTAAAACCCATGTTGTGGTGGTTTTACTGTTCCAGCAGCCTTATTTGTAACTATATCTTGGTATCATCACAGCTAGTGAACAAGAAATAGGGGTGGAGGTCTCAGTGGAATATTTGACACCAAAATCATGGTCCTTGCTGGTATAGAATCTGCATTACAATATTTTCCCATATTCATATTTTTGCCACGATTATTTCCAAGGTGGGGTTGTTAGGGACAACTAGTATGTTGCTCAGGAAGTCAAGCTGCCATTATTTTTCAAATTTCTTCTTGGTCACAAGTCCTACCAAACCTGGAGTATTTTTCTAGTTTTGGGGAAAAAATGCATCTGTGCAAGTAGATTCTAGCCTAAAACGCTGAACAACAGCCCAGTCTTTAAGGTGCCACAGAACTTATTTGAAAACTGGTCATTCTTCTATATAAAATATATTAGAACATTAAAGTAAGTTACTGACCAAATTCCACCCTTCCACCACATTTTGTGGTTGTATCAGTAAACAACAATGTGAATATTATTTACTGTTTGAACTTGCACCAAATGTGTAATCTTACGATTTTGAAAGGAGCAAAACCTTGTCAAAAGCTGTGAAATGAAGCTGAAATTTTAAAATAACACAAAGCAGCCTATATTAAGCCTAAGTTACAGAATGTCATCAGACATATGTGTGAGGATAAATTCATATAATATTGCTTTGCTGTCCTGGTGGGACTGGATTTCACAGCTCAGTAGGAGAAACTAATGCTTGGCTAAATAGCCCAGCCATAATTCATAGCCTGACATAGATCTAACATCAACACTGACTGAAAGACTTGAAAGTAACAAATAGCAAATGTAATGGAATCACAACATCCATCTTGGTTTCACTATCATCAATTAAAATGTTTTTTGATAAGAAATTTGAGAGACGAGAAAATGGAAAATAAACTGACCACCTTTGAGATAATCAAGGTAGTAGAGCAAAACATTGTTATGAGAAACGTATCAATTACTTATCAAGACAGAACAGTGACAGAAAAGATGTTTTTTTGTTTCAAAAGGGAAACGATGCTAGAGGTGGAAAAACAAAATGAAATCTAGAAGTCTGCCTTTCCTTGTGGTCCTGCCATGCCAACTTACATTTCTTTAAAAGAGAGTAATTTCAAAATACTGTACTGTGCGTTTTTAACAGCACAAATTTGTTCAAATTAGAGAGATGCATGTTGGAGGGTTGATAAATAAGTTGCATATTCATGCATATCTGGTGGAAATATAAGAAGATGAGCTCTTTTTGGAATGATATGCATATGAGACAGACATTTGGATCCATTAAATATAATGCAACATTATTCTGTAATATTATTCTTTTGTAACTTCATTGTACATCACTTAGAAACTATAGTGTTAAGTGGTAAATAAATTGTTGAAATAAGTAAATAGGTTACTTGAGAAATAAGATACATGCAGAACATATGGAATTGGTAAGATACTAACTACAGCAAAAGTTTGAATTGCTTATAAACAAAAAAATTCTACTATGGTAACTATGAATAAATGGCTTAGTAGAACCAAGTTTGCCTAATGGAAAACTTGACACAATTTATGTAGTTAGGAGAGGGAAGTAAATTGACAGGAACTTTCCAGAAAGAATGGACCCCTTTTACTTCATATATTTAACATGGATCTTAACACATACAAAGCATTTTCACCGCTGTCTTAAACAGAAGTATAAGATAAATGATAATTAATGAACTGTGAGAATCTCTATGTAGAAGTCTATATATTTTGAATATTATGAATGTAGAACTAAATACTTGTGAAAAGAAATGTGACAAAAATAGTGAACAAACACAATTTAATATAAACTTTCACGTAAACTTGGTATACTAATTTGGAAAGTACCATTTTACAGTTAACAAGGAAATGACTTCTAACAAAGAACTTACCATCTGTCATTCCTTCTCTACGGTGAGGCAATGGAGGCTGGTCCACTCTGCCTCCCTTGTGTTTTTTGGTAGGCCTAGGCCTCTGACTCTGGGCTGCACTCGTGTTGCTGTCAGTAGAAAAGGGGCTGGTTGGCCGAGGCCTCTGAGAAGAGGAATATGGTTTGCCTACAAACAAAAATGGAATTGATACGTTATTCTGCTTACATGCCTGCTCTAACCGGCTTCAGTTTCTTTATTTGCAACACCTCACATGAAAACTCATGACGACTGTTATTGACGGCACCACCAGCAAAGTGACAAACTCAGTGTTGGAGTTTACTGTTAAAGTTTATTTGAAAAACATTTTCACCATTTGCTGACCATCTTTTTTGTATGCTAAACAGAAATGCGAAACTAATACATTTTTTTAAAAAAAAGATTGGAAGCAACATTTACGCACCATGACTTCTATGCAGAAAACATGTGTTCTGGATGAGGAGTCTAACCTCAGCTTTGCCCAACACATGCTGTATTTTTATTGCATAAGTAACCACATTAGACAATTTATTCTGGGGCCCAAACCATTCAAGAACAGGCTAATACAGATAAGATTTATCCATAATTCATTATTTTGTATGCATGCAGATGTTAATATTTATTGAAAAAGGTAGCTATTGGCTAATCAAATAGAGGTGTCATTTCCAAATCTAACGAGACAATTTTGTTCCCTTCAGTACTAATGGAGTGTTCATCAGCCAAAAAAAAGTTATTCCACTCATTTTATATGTATTGCTTAAATTAACCAAGCAATACATATTAACCAAGCAATACAGACTGTTTTAGTTTTAGTAAGAATGTATATTTTTCTTTTTCCCCCAATGTCATCCATTTTAGAAACCTGAGGTGGAATCCAGTTTGTGCCCCAGCACTCATGGAAAGACTTTTGATCCAGGAGACATCTCTAGTAGTGGAGGAGAAAGGGGGCAAATTTTAATGGATTCCTCTCCTGCAGCTCCCACGCCTTAGAAATTACGATATGCTGTATTTTTGTAATTTTCTATAAAGTAAGGGTTTGTGGTTTTTTTTTACAATGGTTTCATAATTTTAAATAAGCATACATTAAGTTCGGTTTTTCAAAGCCAATGGAAGAACACATGATTTGTTGGCAATAATCTACTTGATTAAGAATACTTTAATATCAAGTCTTAGGATTTATGTAGAATACTACAGTATATTAGTCCTTCATTGTTCTTGATGAGATTGCAATCTTATAAAGCCTTCCTCCTCCTCCCTGCCTCCTCCCTGCTTTCAGTGACAAGTGCACTGCTCCCTTACAAGAGTCTATCACACAGACCACTTGTGATGTTTGTAGGAGAAACATGCATGCCAGAACCCTTACAAAGCCCGCTGTTTTATGTACAAGGTGGTATAAATTTTACAACCATATGATAGCCACCCCACATAGTTGGTGTTAGGAGTTTGTTATGCTGTTGAAGTTTCTTGATCTGTGTAGTAATCCCTTTGTGTTATAAACAGGCCCAAGAGTAGCCTGGAGCTACTGCTCTAAATGTATCTCTGGGCACTTCCACACCATAGTTCTCTGGAGACTCTGCTGCTCGTTCATGCAAGTTTTGTGCAGCATCCACATGACATGATCCCCATCAAAATGCCATCCCATATTCTTTCCTCATTTAATCTGGCTGTATTTTTGCTGGAAAACTTACTCAGTTTTCCACGGAAATAGAACAAATGGGAAAATAACACAAAACGAAACACTGTGTAGGGGCTGCACAAAACTTTCATGTAGTAGCTACAGAGTCTGCAATCTGCCATTAGGAAGTGCCCTCTGCTTCCTTAATGCACCTACTATGATCTGAACACAACCATAGCCTACTTCTAAACATTTTATGTACTTTGACTCATCTTTTTTGCAGAGAAGGGAAGAGAAGTAACCACAGAAAAAATAAAATATAAGGTTGCCTTTATCTGGCATTTGAAAGGCAAATCAGAGTCACTTTGTTTAAGCAAGGCAACTAATTTGTTTAACTAGATGCTGTCCTTGATACAATTTTAATTATAATCCTGCTGTCAGACACAATAAATGATTGGATTAAGTGCCTTAAAAGGCAACCATTTAATAAGGCTGTTAAACTGTTGCATTGTTAGAGTGATAAACTTTCACCAACTCACCCCATGCTCACAGTCTTCCCAGAAAATACATTTGGCAAGAGAGATGCAAAAGAGAAGCAGTAATGGAGATAAAAGCTAAGTGTGCAGTTCTTCACAAGAAATATTATTGATTGTGAGAAGGTTTTGCAAATAATAAATCATCAAAAATTGCATGGCAAAATTAGTAGTCTCCTTGAGGCCGTATTAAAAGGCAGTATGTGTCGGTGTCAGTAAATCCATAGCAGAGTCAAGAGAAGTGTTAAGATGTCTGTGCACTGCATTGCTTTGTTTCTGCTTGAAGTACTATTAAACAAAAAACAAAAAACCTAACAGGCAGAAACAAACCATCTGCTTTATATGCATGTTAGGCATATTTATGCTGAGGTTTTACTTTTCTGAGGAGAAAGGAGGAAGAAATAAAAGACAGAGGCCCACATCATGCAAAAAGCATTAGCTTTGTGTCTACAAACCTGTTCTTGATAGGCTGGTTCCATCCAGCCTAAACCCAGCTTTATCTGCTGCTGCAACCAGAGCTTGTGCAAAACTGCCGCTGGTAAAGATGGAGTCATCTGAGGAGCTACCTACACTAGATCTATGACTAGAAAAGTTACGGTCCTCATCAGACGCAGAACCCCATCCATTTACAAGTGAACCTAAAAACAAATGTAGGGGGCTAGTGAGTTGCACACATGAAATAGCTTAACTGTTATGTAAATTCCAAAGGGCTATTAAAATACCTCTTTTCCTTCTACTTTCAAATCTCAATTTTGTATTTCTAGAATAGGGAAATTCAGATAAAAATTCATTGCAGTTTTCCCCATCACCACAGCTCTCAGCCAATGGAGTTCAGATTTTGTAAGGTTTTTTAAATAAAGGATCTTAAAGTGGACATTTCTAATCTCAGAATTCAAAATAAGAAAAACATGAATGCACTGTATC